AGCACAGGTGGTATGATATGTATTTTTTTTTCTGGGCTTACAATATAAAATGATGTGAGGATGTGTCAACCCACTTTGAATCAGGAAACTTAAGGCTATAATTCAAAAGAAACCGAGTTTTCCCTTTTAATTTTTTCATCCCTTTGATCCTCACCCACCCATCATTTTATCTGACAGATTAGATTGAATTAGTTTGACCTGTCCTCAAGGCTGTAGTGTAATTTGCCTTTGACATTGATAGGGGAAGAAGACAATGTGGCCAGGCAACAGGGTATATATGGGGGTGGAAAATGGGGGAGCAGGAGCTGCGTGGAAAGAAGGACTATGCAGCTTTCAGGCTCGGTGGTGAAATTCCTGTTCTTTACCTATGGTATTTCATCTATGTTATTTCACCAGACTGTCTGTCAGGGGTTAACCCTTGACAGTGACAGTGTAAGCTGCTCATGTGCAAAGCAGACCAGCTTAGCTAGGTCTTTCATTGGCTTAGTCGCAAATGTATCCAGTATGTCCGCAGTATCTGCTGGTGACACACTCCAATTTGTTACTTCAGTGCAGTTCAGAACAGTTTATACGCAATTCAACATTTTTCTAAAGCCTTCAACAGGTTTAGTATTAGTGACAATGCTTGGATCAAAGTCTGCATACTTTTACGATTTCTCATCCTCCTACCACATGATGCTGTCGGACAGTTAAAGGTAGTTTCACTGTGTCACATTTTAGGGTGTGTGTGAAAACTGTGGAACGGGACAGGGAACAGGCAGGGGTGACCTTTCTCTTGGCTAAGATGGAGGCAAGATGCCCTGACTATTGCTGTGTGGAATTGGATGCTGGGATGTGTGGTGATGTGGTTTCCCTTACAGCTTCTGCTCCTCATTTGCTGCCTTTGTGGTGTCAAGTGGTAATACCAACCCTAAGCCAAACAACCATTAAAGAGCTATGTTTTTTATTTAAGACAAGGCCCAAGATGACATAGCACAACTTTTGTAGTCATTTTGACGAGAATCATCCAACATTTGCACCACGATTCCCCTGCAAAGGTTGAAAGCTGATACTAAAGAGCTCTGGAAACCCCAACAAGCCATTATCCCAACAAAGCAAGAACTTGGACCTCAGCATGGTAACACCACCCAGCTCGGGTCAGAGAGAGACAAACCGACCCTGTGATATTCTATCCAACAGAGCTGTGCTTGTCTTCTGTGCTATGATAGAGAACATTCTGTGGTATGTCAGAGGCTATTTGGGATATGTAAAAGGTTGACTGGTCGAAAGAGACAAATGACTCTAGGAAGCTGTCAGCTCCACCTCTGACTGAAATGACTGAGTTAGTGAGGTGCATTGAGAATGATAATTAAATATGGGGCCAAAGATTGGCATGGTGGGCCCTGTACCTTTAGGCCAGGGGAGAATGGGTTTGGGAGCTCACATTGCCCAGGGCCTATGTTAGACTCAGGCACTAACCCAATTTCACACTGTGTGACTGGGCCTGGCCTGTTTCAGTATAGCATCTGAGTGTGAGTGCCATCTGGTCCAGGCCTATGAAGGAAATGGCCTTGCTTTTCACACTGATCGGATTAGGGTGTTTTTAATTCATTCGGGATGTGCCCTTGCGTGTTAATTGGCTCAACATGGCCAATGAATCTCGCCTGTTGCTTGACACAGGATGGCCTCTTTCTTTAACTCTCTTTAGAGGTTTGCTGCTCCTCACATTTTTGCTGTTTTCATATTTTCCTCACAAATCAGCACGATTTTAACAAAGTTCCTGAGAATGTGTTTCATTTATAAAAGACATGAAGCTATTCAGCCATATTCTATGAGCAGCGGAGCGGTTCAAAGACCACAGTGACTCAGTCCCTTTAGAAAACGTGATAAAAATGGATGTTCAAGTCAGTATATAGCAATAAAACTTGTCTTGTCTTAAAAGATAGGTCATATTTGAAACAATATGTTATGGGTTTGTGCTTAAGCCATGACATATTTCTCTGAGAAGTAACTGTATGATAAACATGCCCTACATTTAAAAGTCTGTCCTCTCTAATATGACAGATATGTTGCATAATATTTCAATAATATTACTAAAGCGGGGGTACCAAAGCTGTAATTGTGTTAATGATGCCTGTCTCAGATTAACACAGACCATGGTATCAGTTTAACCATGTTCCCGTATTTGCGCGAATGAGCAATACATGCAAAACCTCCTAGGTGACAACATTGCACTTCAGTTCGCCAAAATGCTAATTCAAATGCATAACAACTTCTACAGTTTCAGTCTTGCCCGCACTTGGATGAGGTAAAACACCCAAAAGTGTAGTTATTTTGAGATCCCAGTTTTGATGCTCTTTCCACAGTTATGATTTATGAGGCAATTCTCCGATTAATTCTTATAATAAATCTCATTTTAAGTTCCACTTTTCCGAGCTTCATTGTCAGTGCCTCTGATTCTTTTAGCTGCACACAGCCACCCCTAATTAAGAAGAAGTTCACAGTTGTTGCTTAATATGTATTAATTAGGCTAGGGCACTTACAATTCCTACCAGCCATCTAAATATAACGCATGGGCAGATCAGAGGATGAAGGGATCTGACAAGATCACTCTACATATCAATTAAAACAGTGTTAAGCCACTCTAATTTTAACAACACTGCAGAATTAAAGGCACAATCACTAATATCTCACTGCTTCTTTGTACAAATTGACCAGAACATATCAGCGGGGGCTCGTACATGTTGCTGATCAATGCCAGTCCCTCTGTTAGTGAACCTCAATGTCTGCTGTGAATTACATTTTGCTTAACACGCAGAGCTGGACCCACTCTGTTTTCACTGGGTATGGTCCAAACTCCCAGCCCCCCTGAACTACCCACTGCTTACTGAGCATGGTGTATCATTTTCCCCAAGTTAAAGAAGCTGTACGGGACATTCAGAGCATTAATACAGCAGCAAACAACTATTAGCTATGTAAAGATATTGTTAAGTTGTAACGTCCTACGCAGATAATCAAGTCACGCTCCCTCTGTGTTGTAACCCGAGCTTCTATGTTCAGCATGTAAATGTTAGTTAGGGTGAGCATATTTTCAAACCCCCAAACTGGGACTCAGTGTATTGCACATTCATAGACACATACATGTATGCGCTTATGGATGCTCTATAGGCATTTTCATCAGGATGGGGGACAATTATTTCAATGCTTAGCACATCTACTGAGCACACCTTTTCAACACTATGGTTGCCATGAATGCAGCATCTTCATTGCTGGATATTTAATGATGGAAGGATTTCACTGACTTTCTCTTTGGCGTGACAGCTACCCATTAGCGTACTGACAGGTTCTGTCAGAAGGAGCTGCAAGCGTCGTAGCCTGTGACACCTACGGTGACTCATTGGCTAGCAACAGCCTTGACAACAATATACTGATTAACTGACATAAATACAGACGCATAGAAAATTGTTGGTTTTTATGTTGGGTTACTAAATGAGTGGGACAGAACATAGGCAAATAAACGTCTACGTAAATGCTTGAAAACATGAATAATACAAATACTATTTTAACTGTGTTAAAAACAATTAAAAAACAAACTGGAACATTTTAGTGTTTTACATTTGTTGGAACTCGGGACACATCCTGAATGTCTGGTCATCGTAATGTTAGTGCACACAACTCCCTGTGTTAGTATCCCACTGGCTCACTAATCGCCACCACTTTGCCCTGTGCTCATATAGAGGTTACTGCTGATAACACCGTCCTGACCTCCTGACTCATTCTCATCCCAACTTGTCTTTTTAGTGGACCTAAACATCAAAATACGACATGCTGGTCACCCTCGTGTGTCGATTTTGGACATTCAGGTACGGTGTCTCGGTTGACGCTTGATACATGCATTGTCCTTTAAAAATACACTTCTGGTTTTCACAGGAAATGTACAGTTTCTGCTTGTTACATGCATACAGTCTTTTATCAAAATAAAGTTATTACGTGGGTAGAACACTGTGTAGAGCACATGGTTATGGTTGGACTTAAAATAAGTACAGTTCTTACTAACATAATATTACGTCATGTGACATACATCTAGTGTAGTATTCTACACATACTAGCACATTACGTTATTATTAAAATAACTCGTTTCACTTGTGGTTTCACACGGGATATGAACTGCAATCTTGCGGGTGAAAATCCAGTGTTTGACCCCAGCCCACCCTATATGAACTTTCTCACTCTTTAAACTACAGTGGTTGATGGTTACATCAAAAATAGCCGTCAGCAGGCACATATCTTACAGCTGCGAACAGTGTCTTGGTGCATTGGTCTCTGACGCTGACATTCACTGACAAAGCTGCGGTATTTGACAAGTTCGGTTGTGGCTGGCGGCATCAGAAATAACTGCTGACTGACGCGTATCATACTGCCACAAAAGCTGACTTTGCGCGATGGTATCTGATGGCAAAATTACTAACAAAGCGGCGATATATGATGAATTTGGCGTGAGAACGAGCTGTACCCATGGCTGCAAAACGACATCGTCACAGAAGCATAATGCCCACCCTTAAGTTCCATGCATGTTAGCAAAGTTAGCTCTGTCAGCACTGTTGCCGCTGTTAGCTGCTAGCCGCTAGCTTGGCCACCTCCATGTTGACAGCCGTGTGCAGGGAATCCCAGCTCACACTCTGAATCATGAGTAAGTTGTAATGTACGTGCACTGTAATATCCAAACTATGTTTTTATCTGTTTCCTGATGGGTTCCTTGTAAATGTACAATCAGTGATCCTGTTGGAAAGATGGGGTCGAATTTCTTTTCATTATTAAAGCAAAAATATACTACTATGGAATTATGTTAACATCTGAAAGTTTAATTTGTTTACTGTTTAGATTACATATAAAAAAGGAATTAATTATTGTAAATTGATTGATTCTGTAAAACATAGTTTTTGGGTCTTTTCAAGATTATGTGAAAGTCAGTCAGTCCGTCAGTCGGTTGAGCGCTCAAAGATGAGTCCACACCAGTGCCATTTATGCTCATACTTTTTTAATGTATCACAATGAGCAAGAAACATACTTGATGAAATATTTTCAAAGGAGTATATTCAATTACCATCTACAATCAACTTAACTAGGACAACAAGGTTTTGTGACAAAAGTTTCTTTAAAAGTCTGAAGTTCCATGTGGTTGTATGTATGTTAGTTTCCATGTAATTTGGTACAGTTTGGAAATCTTCATCATATAATTACAGTAACAAAAAAGCTAACAAGACTACAGTATAGAAAAGACATCAAGAACAACATTTTTGGTTTAACTTGCTCTTTTTTGTACATTGCAAGGCTGTTTTTTTCTACCCTCGGATGGGCTGCCTGGAGCCACAGAGCCATGCTTATGAGGCTCAAAGGAGGAGTAATTCAAGGAAACAAAAAGAAAAAACTAAAAGCATAAAAAAAAACATTGTGGCACCAGAAGTCACAAAAGGAACAGAGAGCTCCAAGTAACAGTTCATCTTTGAAGTTGGAGCAAATGGTTGTTTGGTTGTTAGTTTGGTTGTTAATTTTGGTTAATACGCTTTTTTAGTGTAACTGCCTCTTTAAGAATGACAGCTTCGAGAACCCGTCCCCTCTCTCTGTTATTAATTTCTCTTTTTAGATTATGTAATCAACAGAGAGAGGGGTGAGCCGCCATTTGACTGGAGAGCTTAACTTGTCAACCAGAGACAAGCACAAGGAAATGAAACGGGTAGCAACATGAACTGGGAGAAATGAAGCAAGCATGTCTGTCCATCCTGTCCTGAAATTTGGAAAATGTCCATCAAAGAGCAGAAGCAGAGGCAGAGCTGGAGAAAGAAAGAGACAGACAGAAAGGAGAAAGAGGCAGCTGGAGCCACTTAAGTTCAGTTTCATCTAAGGACTTTCCTCTCTGTGTCACACATGTCCATTGGTTCCAGAGTCCATTCCCATTACAGAGTTGTCAGTAATCAAATAAGGAGGTGGTTTTAAAGCTGTTTTGAGCCTGCCTTTGGCTCCCCATGCCCAGTTTTGGTGTGCCCACAGCCTCTCATGTCCTCCTAACGAGATTTCCAAAGCTTCCCAGAGTCCTTTTTTTCTCTTTTCATTCCTTCTTCATCTCGAAAGAAAAAAATAAAAGAAAACAAAAATGAAAAAAAAAAAAAAAGTTGATGTCTTGTTTTAAATATATCTATATCTGTATACAGGTACACGTTCATTTTCACAGTGGGCAAAAGATGACCTCTACAGCAAAACCTTGTCTTTATCTCTCTCTTTGTAAATGTCCATTAAAATCAAGTATCCCAATGTAAGTCGGTGGATGCAATTATCCACAATAGCGTTTTGTGCCACAATAAAATATACACTTATCTCGGGCACAACTTGTAACCTTTTTTTTTTTTCTTTTTGTTTCAACTGCATAAAGCTTTGGCCACATTCATAAATTCAATCAAAGTAAAAACTGCTCAGTGCTTCGGTATCATTTCTGATCGTTATCGTTAAAATTGGATTTTCTAAATTTCACTTATTCATAATCCAGCTTTGTGGTTCAGTTTGTTTTGGTGTGTAACATATACAAAAAAATAAAAGGCAAACGAGAAAAAACTTGAATTGATGCTGGCTCTTATGAAACACGCACACACACACACACACACGCACACACAAGCATACAAACTCACACACAGTCCATGCTGGCTGAATCTGATGTAGAGACTTCAACTTTGTCTTCCACAAAAGAGCCAAAAAAGATTACACTTTGGAAATAAGAGAGCAAACAGTATCATCGAGACAATGAATATAAAGAACATTATCACACCATAAAGTGGCCAGGTCATATTTTTTGTTTTAGTTTCTTAATTTCAGCAATTCAAATTAAAGCTAGTGTTAATTTATGATAAAAAGTAATATACAGAAACTAAAATAAAATACAAATACTTATAAGAAAATAACAATACATGTCTGACATTGTCTGAAAATTAAAATAAAGCAAACATATTTGGGAAAACTGTACAACTTAAGAAAGTTTTAAAAAATAAGTACACGTGAACAGTATTTCAGGGAACTGGACTTTAGAGAAGTAGCAAGCTTGCAGACCAAATCTCCTGACTTTCGACAGCATGCTGTGGTATTAACACCAAATCACATTGCTCTGCAAGACGAAGCACTTTAAACACACTTCTGAGATTGTGCCTTGTATTCATTAGGGCGAATATATTGACTATACAATAGTGGCCAAAAAGTAGTTTCACAAATTTAAATATGTCTTGGTTTTTAAAAATAAATGTTTTAGTTCATTGGATCATCAGTGAGAGGGTGGGGGGTACCTATGCACATCCATTTCCATTGCAACAAAATGAAGTGGGTGACTTCTTTGGACATGAAAGCATCCTTGCTATTTGAAATCAAGGGACATCTTCAAAAAACCTCCTACTTTTTTCCAGAAATAATGCTTTGGAATGAAGATGTCCCTTAAAAACCTGTAATCTATGTGTGGAAGTGGCACCCTGCAGACACGTGGGACAAGTCACTGGTGGATTTCCCAGGAAGGGGGGCAACGACACCTCGGCAGAACAGCCACCATTTCCCTCTGAGACTAGCTGTATGTTGACTGGCATAAATGTCACTAAACCTATGAGACGCATCAGTACCAGATGTATTATATACATTTTTTGGTAACCACTATTACTTGCTTAACAAGTGAGCAACAACCTTGACTGGATGGAGGGATTCTCAGCAATGTTCCATGCCAGCACAAAATGACATATGGAGGTCACGTTGTTCAGCAACCAATGATGCAAAAATTTACACAACAGTTTACAGTCACTTTAAAAATGAGAAGAAGAAAAAAATAGATTGTGACAATTAAAAGCAATTAAATGAAATAGGATCAGTCCTTGCTTAAGAAAAATCCATTGTGATATTTGGAATGCACTGTTCTTTACAAACGTTATAGATCATTGGCTTTAAACATTGGTCTGTTCAAAAAGAAAATCGGCAAAATGTCCTTTGGAACATATATTCACAGTCTTCAAAGTTCCGTTTTTGCAACAAGAAAAAAAAGGTGTTGCAGAGGCAAGAAATTGGTTTATTGTTTGTTTTAGTTAAAGCTTAGCCAAAAGCAAAATGAGCATGCATCTAGGTACTTTTTTTTTCTTTCAAAATTCTACATTAGCAGCAAAACGTATGTCCTTGAAGACCAGACCTTATACATTTTCTTAAAAAAAATGGACATTTGAATGTGACAAAAAAGTCAAACAAAGATTAATAACCTCTATCTTACAAACTGCAATGGCTCTGTAACGGTGCTACTCCACAATGCAAGGACAAGGGCCCTTTTTGGTTTTTGGTATTTACGTAAAAAAGCCACCTGTTTGCTTGCAAAGAAGCAAAAACGGCAACTCTGATGCGTACTCCTTTATCTTTTAAAACTTTGTTTTCTTTCCTCTAAAAACAGCAACAAATTCTCAAGTATAAAGAAGCCTCTTTTCTCATATTTATGCACCAATGGTGAAAAGTGTTTAGTCTTTGGATTTTCTTTTTGTCTTAAAGCGTGAGAATTATTATTAGTATTCTTTTTTCATTTTCATTTATGACAACAAAAATGTCAAAATGAAAATAAAGACTGTAGCCACACTACATGAAGAACAAAAGACCTGCTTTGTAGTGTACATATCTACAAACACAGGAGAGCAGAGAAAAATAAGTGCGAAGAGAGGAACAAGTAGAGTGAGAAATAGGTGTCAGACAGTGATAAGTGCACAAAGGTAACACAAAAATTAAATAAAAATAATAAAACTTTCAATATTTCACCCAGGATCTATTTGGTTTGGTTAGCGCAGTACCAACCAAACCATAAAATTTAAATAATTCTAAAAGAGGATCCTGCCTTGTCAGGAGGGGCATTTGGGTGAACGTTTCCCAAGAAGTTTGAGAATAAGACAGAAACAAAGTTGAGATAAATTACCTGTCCATAATCTAGTCTATCGGAATGACCAAGACAACATCAAATGAAGCGTCTTAAAGTTGGACAATACAAAAGCTAAATGTACACAAAGTTTTTTTCAACCTACCATACTGTTTAAATTCATTTCCAATGCAACAATCTACTTAACACCAAAAATGTTCATATCTATCATAAATACAGAAGGTTGTTTTTTTTTTTAATCAAAACTCTTTTTATCGCCCGTTATGTCTGCAATGCTCTCCTTGTCTGGGTATAATGGGATTGCGATTTCCCCCCTTTAAAAGGATTTCCAATGTTAAAATCAGCAAATCATTTACCCTTTTTGAATGCCCAGAAACAATGCCTTATTAAAATTTCATTCTACTTAAAACTTTCTGTTATTAAATCAAGTTATGAAAGAAAAAAATGCTTATCTTCTGTTGGAAACAAAAGGTGTAAAACATGGATTTCTGTAACAGAAAAAAACATCTGTGAGCTGTTGACCTGAGAATAAAATAGACATTACATTATTCTTTTACTTTTGCAAGCCATTGGTATCTGAATGCTTAAATAGCAAGAAAACTGATAGACTATTCTCCCATACAGTACATACTGGCTTTTTGTGACTGTGCTATTAAGTAGAAATTATTACAAAACAAAGGGACAGCTTGTTGACTCGTATTTCTTCAAAAGGGTTCTTGGGCCATTTGTCAACTTTGAGGCAGTCCATTGCCATACAGTACAGCATTCCTCTACCATTACCCAAAACATAACTGCAGCGATCTTTTCTATTCTCATATATTAGTATGCATGTATTTCAGTTGAATAAAACAAAAACAAAACAAAACAAAAACAGAAAAAAAAAACAAAAAAAACAAAAAAAAAAACAAAACGAAAACCAGCATGTTGATATGGGAAAACAATCCACTAACATTTAAATTTTTGGTTACAAGCTTTGGAATTGCAGTTAGTCTTTACACATCTTTTTCTGAAATTGGTTTGTATACTTTTAATGTATTTTTAACATTGCTGCTTTTTATGTTTTTTCCATTTGTGATTTTTTTTGTCTTTTTTTTTAGTGTTTTTTAAATATTGTCCATCACTGAAAGCTCTTTTACAATCTGATGGAGTCTGTTCCTACACTAGCAAGATTACTACTACAACTACTACTGTCTTTGACAAAGCCAGGCTGCTGCGGCTCCTCCGCCGTCCTGCCAAGCCTGTCTGCTGACTTCTGACTGCTGTCAGAATCAGACTCGTCGGTAAAGACGTCTGTTGGTATCGAGGTCTGAACTCCTGAGGTGCTCAATGAACTTGAGGTAACCGTTGAAGGTGAGGACATTGGAGGAAAAGAGGAGGAAGAAGAGGAGGGACTGGCATTGGGCTTCCCAGCTAAAGCTCTGGAGAAAGGGGCCTGGGGCCATGGTTTGCCGGCAGCTGTGGTGTTGAGTGGGGTAGTCGAGGAGGAGCACAGGGAAGAGGAGACAGCAGAGGATGGCATGGTGGCTGATGTTGTTGGCGGGGGAGGGGGGCTGCTGATGGGATGAGTGGCAGACTGCGAGGTAGATGCGGTGTTAGGATTGGGGAAGCAGGCTGAAGAGTGAGGTAATAAACTAGTAGCGTGCTCTTTGGCATTTCTGGCTGATCGCTTGATTGTTCTGTGTTTGTGCAATGCCGATTCCAGGTGTTGACTGAGTGCTTTCTCCCCATCCAACGTAGTGTCACAAGCCAGGCAGTCATAGAGACTTCCAGCCCCTGCACCTACGCCACCAGGGACACGCAGCAACATCTCTTGCAGGTTTGCCACAGACTGACCGAAAAAACAGTTAGATTTAAGGTGGGTAATAGCCGCTTCTTCCTTGGTGAAAACTGCTTGACACTTGCGGCATGCCAGTTTACACTGCACCTTGGGGACGATGTACTGGTCTAGATGGGGGTCCACAGCTTTGCCATCCATCTCTTTCTGCTCAGAGGGTACTTTATTATGAGAGGAGGAGGAAGAAGAAGAGGGGGAGGAAGTGGGGGGGTCACTATGGGGTTTGCCCTTTTGCTCCTCTGTTTTCACTGGATCTTTGGCAGATTCTTTGCGATCCCCCAAGGTTTGAGGGGGAACTGGAGTTTGGCTCGCCTTGGGTTGCTGGATCTGCTGAAGCTGCCGCTGCTGCTGCTGTAGTGCCTCCTGCAAGCTCTGCTGATATTGCTGGTAATGCTGCAGCAGGGACCCTGGAGACAGGCCCATCAGTGCTTGTGACAATGCTGGGTTATAAGGGAAGAGACTTTCCATACCATACATGGGTTGCAGGTAGCCCCCTTGGAGAGCCCCGGGGATCTGTGGGGTGTAATACGGGGAAAAGCCAGGCATGAAGTAGGGCAAAAACTGGTTGGTGAGGAGAGCTGTGGGGTCTGATGCCAAAGCAGCTTGCAGGGCCTGAAGCTGGGCAGGGTCTACCACATACTCCATACCAGGTGTGGGCATGGAGGTGGCAGGTACAGCTGTGTCTGGTTTCTCCTTCTTGGCACTGGCAGCAGAAGTGGAAGGGGCAGGGGTGCTTCCAGTTGATGATGGAGTTGAGGGCTTCTCCGTCTTTTCCTTGGACTTCTCCTTCTCTCTTACCCTCTCAGCATCACGTTCTTTGGGGGGTTCAGGCCGGGAGCCGGACTGGGTGGTGGAGGAAGTGGAGGTGGATGTAGAGGTGGGGCTCGAATGGGAAGCAGACGTGTTGGTCTGGGCTGGGCTGGATGCGGCAAGAGACGATGAGGAGGGAGGCTTGTTGGGTAATCCGGATGTGGGGAGGCTAGGTGAGGGAACACTGGCACCAGGCATGTTCAGGAGGTTTGAAGGTTTTGGAGGAGTTAAAGCTGGAAATTTTTCAAATACAGACAAACATTCAAGAATTAACAGGCATATAAAAATATTCAATGATATGAGATAAGTAGACAATACGATAAATTGTGTCATTATATAAATACACACAGAGAAGTTATAAATAATAAATTATAATAAGCTCATGCAATCTTCGCAAAGTCAGACTGAGCCATTGTTCACTCTGTTTTGGTTTAGGTTAAGTTAAGGTTAATTTTTGACATTTGAGGAGATTCTGTATTTGGTTAGATATCAACAAAGGCAAGGCCATTGCATAATGTGACGCATTCAGTATGTGTGCCAGTGTAAATGAGTACACGAGACTGATTGATAAGAAATTGCTTTAGAGAGAGTAAAAATGTTGTGTTCTAGTGTAATGTGTTCTATAGCAATAGATCTAAAACTCTGCACCTCATAATTTATCTGTTAATCAGTGAGTGAGTCCAAATGATGACATACCTGAATTAGATGAGTTAAAGCTGGAAAGAGAGGGGCTGCCAACCCCTGGCAAAAGGACAGGTGGGATGCCTTGCAGATTTGGATAAGCTGACTGGAGATTCAGAGCCTGCATGGCAGGGTTATCAAACATCCCCTGCTGCTGCATGGCCTGCTGCTGCGCCAGTCCTAAAACTTCATTGGCCTTCTTAATGCGGTCCATCTCTTGCTGGGCCATAAGTTGGCGGACAGTGGCGGGGTCAAAGTATTCTTTTTCCTTATCGATCTGGCTGCCAATGGTATCCTTCACCTTAGAGATGTGTTGCTGGGAGAAAATGTGATCACGGACAGAGAGGCGAGCACTGTACTTGACACCACACAAAGTGCATTCAGTCTTCGGCCCCTCGTAGGATGTCTGATTTATTCCGAAGTGCTTGGCCATGTTAAGCTTAGCCTTTTTCTCCTTGGCACGAGCATTTTGAAACCACACCTGAACCACTCTCTTTGGAAGTCCAATGTCATTGCCAAGTACCTCACATTCCAGCATAGTGGGAGTCCTGTAGTCGTTAAAACAGGATTTCAACACTTTGAGCTGGAGGTTAGTCATTTGGGTACGGAAGCGCTTTTGGCCAGGGCGATCTCCGCTGTCAATGCTCCTGGTACCTGAGGCTCCAGGACTTGGTGAGCATGGGTCAGCCAGGCTGGACGTCTCACTGTGATCAATCATATGTTCATTGTCATAGTCCTTAGCATAATAGCTTGTTGCAGGGCTTACTAGCCCTGAGGACATCTGGTCATCACCTTCAAGGAGGGCAACTGTGCCCCCAGACTTTGACAAGTAATCACCGCTGATTTGGCTGTGCTTGGCATCAGCACTGTCATTATCAGCATTGGCCTCATCACCTGTGGTTGTGTCAGTGATGGCTGTATTCACAGAAGAGCAGTCATCATTATCCAGTTTGCTGTGATCAAAGCTGAGGTTCACAGAGGACATGGTTGCGCTCTCAAAATCTTCCATCCCCTCAACTTTAATGGATGAAGGGCTCAGTAGAGCCCTGGGGGACAAATCCATGCCTTTGTTTACTGGTGACATAGAGGAGCTTTGTCCATCACTATTTGCTGGGGCCATTTGGGAGTAACTTGCTGACTCTAAAGCATCTATTTTTATTTGCATACCCTCCTGTTCAGGTAACATACCAGCGAGAGCTAAATTATATCCAGCACGTTTGGCTTCATGCCAGTGACGAGAGCGAATGTGTGCCTCAAGGGCAGTTTTTGCTTTGAATAGAGCTCGACAAAAAGGGCACCTACGATGAGCTTGAGCTGGCCCTACTGCTCGAAACTGGCCTTTTCTCTCTCTGGCTCTGGTATTTTGGAACCAGACTTGCACTACTCTCTTTTTTAATCCCACCTCGTGAGCAATGTGGTCGAGCATTTTTCGTGTAGGATTTGAATCTAATAAATACTTCTGATACAGGATCTCTAGCTGCTCAGGTGTGATGGTGGTTCTGAGCCGCTTGTCTCTCTGTGGCTCTTCTCCGCTGTTTGTGCTGTCATTCTCTCCAGGGCTGGTGCCAGCTTTCTCCTCTAACTTCCTCTTCAGGGAGTTCATGGTGGAGGTGGGGGTGGACGGAGAGGTGGCAGAGCTGCTGGGAATCTGTGGCATTGCCCCAGAGAGTAGCTGACTTGCCAGGAGAGGATTGCTTGGATCAAATAGCATGAAAGACATATCAATTGGACGGTCTAGGAATTGAGGGTGGATGAATTGATTTTGCACAGAAAGGAAGTGTAATTGCTGGTGTTCCTGCCAGTGCTCAAAGGAGGGGAAGCCAATCTTGCACTGCTCACACTGATACGGGATCATCTGTTGTGCCAGTTGCTGTGTGGCAGAGGACAGGTGTGCATTGAGGCTCATGTGAGAGCTTTGCGATGAGGCCTGGCTTGTCTGGGAGGCAGAGGGACCACACTGCTGTTGCTGCTGAGAGAAGGAAGGAGATGAATGTTTGATGGGCTTGGAAATAGTTTGAATCTTCTCTTCTCTCTGGGGTCTATGGTGTTGTGCCTCAGACTGGGGTTGATGCACAACCTCCTGCTTAATAGAGGTTTGGTTTTCTCGTGGATCTGCAGAAATTCCTGGCAACTGCTTGGGCTTCTCATCATCGTAGAGGTTTGAGGTGGATGCTGGTGATGCCTCCTCCTTTTCAGTGGATGAGAGGTGTGAGAATGCCGAAGTGGAGGGTGGAAGTGGGCAGAGACTTGAAGAGGAGGGCATTGGGGTGTGACAGGAAGACCCAGAGGGAGTGTAACAATCATTGGAATAATCCAGCGAATCCTCATTTTGGCTGTCATACTGTCCCTCCTCATCTTCATCTTTGTAACACAGCTTCTTTTGGTGTTTTATTAGATCAAATATACGCTGGAAAACCAGACTGCATTTCTTGCACTGGTAGTTCAGATTTGAGGTGCGGATATAGCGATCATTTGACAGTTCTCGCCTTTCACCATCTTTTGCACCCTCACCTTGGTTTTCATAATTCTTCCTTGCCTTCTGGCGTGCATTTTGGAACCACACAACAATAACACGAGTGGGGAGGCTCAGAAGGTTGGAGAGCTGTTCAAATTCATCATCTTTAGGATAAGCATTAGCATCAAAGAAGTCTTGTAGCACTCTTAGCTGGTAGTCAGTAAATCTTGTCCTGGATGATCTCTTACTTCCATATAATTCTTGTTTCATAGGTTCAGGGGAAGGAGGTTTAGAATCAATTTTTGTGTCTTCTAAAGTTGTCGTTGGTGGATTATTGAAATTGTATGGTGAGTCTTTGTTGCGCTGTCGCTCTTTAAACAGCGTGTTTCTGAACCAGTGCTTTATGACTTTTTGGGGCAATCCTGACTTGTCTGCCATCTCTTTAATCTGCTCCTCATTTGGTGAATTGTTGATATCAAAGTACTGTCGCAGGACCCTAAGCTGGTCATCTGTGATGCGTGTCCGTGGCCTCTTGTTCTGCTGCTGTTGTAGCATGGCTGGTGTGAGCTGTTGTTGATAGAGCTGGGCCAGGTCTGAGGCCAGGCTTGGTTCAACAGATGGCAGCTGAGGAGTCAATTGAGAGGGCAAGGACTGGAGAGACATGGGCTGCATCATGAGTGGCGAGAAAAGGGGCAAATCCATTGGCATGGGAATCTGTGCCATCTGAACTTGCGGCTGTGGGGTAGGTACTGTTGGAGGTGTGAGAGACGCAGCAGAGACAGGAATATTTGGTGTGGGAGCTCTTTGGGGTGGAGGGGGTGGAGGTGGAGGTGGGGGAGGAGGCTGTGGAGGAGGAGGAGCAGCCTCTGGTGTAGGGGGTCTCAGTGGATAGAGTTTATCATATTGTTCTCTGTATTCCTTGGCAAATCTCTCGAGGGATCGAAATGGAAAGAAAGCCTGGTGGATATGCTCCTGGTGACTCTTTAGAATCAGTATGTTTGAAAACAGCTTGCCACAGGCTTCACATTCCAGTTTCTCTAATCCCTCAATGGGGTCCACCACTCTTGTTATCCCACCTGGACCACTTGATCCTGTAGGTCCAGCTGTCTTTTTCTGAGCTTTCTGTTTATTTTCATTGTACTGAATTACTAACTCAAACCCAAAATTTTCCAGCAGGGCTTTAGTTGCATTTCCTCGAGCATCTGAAGCAATCCTTGGTGGAGGCAAGCCAGTATCATGGTTTATGTTTATTGAAATATGCTGAATGTCCTTCTTTTCTCTTGGCTTGCTGTCTGTAGAATCTTTGTTGGGGTATTCCTCATTTTTTTCACTTGTGCCCTTCTCTCTTTGTAGTTCTCTGTCTTTCTCATTCTGAGAGGAGGGAGGTCTCTGCTTTTTGTCAGCCTGCTGAAGAAGAGATGCATTCTGCTGCAGCATTGCCATCTGCCCCTGAGCCTGCTGTTGTTGCTGCTGCTGTTGTTGCTGCTGCTGCTGCTGCTGTTGTTGTTGTTGATGTTGCTGCTGAAGGTGGTGGTGCATCAATTGCTGCTGCAAGCAACTCTGCTGGGCCTGCTGGGCTGAGTTTTTTAGATCTTCCAGCAGTGAGGAGGTGGAGGATCCTGCTAGGCCAAGTGCTGAATTACTGATGTTGATCTCTGGGTTCAGCTGAAATTCTGCTCCAGGGATGTAGAAAGGGAACAGTAACTGCTGCTGTTGCAGGGGGAGAAGTGCATCAGTTGTCATGGGGAAGTGCTGCAGAAGTGCTGGGTTGAAGAGCTGTGATTGTAAAAGAGCAGCCTGCTGCTGGATCTCTTGCTGAAGCTGGGCTTGAGCTTGGGCTTGAGCCTGAGCCAATTGTTGTTGTTGCTGAAGCTGCTGCTGCTGCTGCTGCTGCTGCTGTTGTTGTTGTTGTTGTTGTTGTTGTTGCTGCTGTTGTTGTTGCTGCCCCCTAGCAGAAAGCATGTCAGAAAACTTTGATTTTTTTACCTCATGGTTCTCAGATGGTGAGGGATGGCAACTCAGTGAAGAATTCCCCAGGCTTTCAATGCTATGAGTCTGGTTCATATGGTTTCCTCCAAGAATATTCTGAGCTGTTTGGGACCCAGAAGAACTGTGGTTTGTAGAGCTAGTCGTTGAGTTGCTGGCTGGGCTTGGACTAGATGTTGAAGTGTTGATGCTGGAACCCCCACCGCTTAAACCAGCAGCACTTGCAGAGCTAGGGATCCCTCCTGCTGCTTCAAGTTTGGCTGCCCTAGCTTTGGTCTGATGTAGAACAGAGCGCATGTGGATCTCCAGCGTAGAACTCTGGCTGTATGCCACATTACAAGTACTGCACTTGAATGGCTTGTTGTCAGGGCTGCTGGTAGGCTCAGGTTGGCCAGTGGTGGACTCCTGAAGAGCCCTTTTCACCTTATGCAGATGGGACACAGAGTTATAGTGAACCAGAAGAATGTTCTTCTGAGTAAAAGACTCTTTGCATACAGTGCACTTGAAAGGACGAGATGGATCCAAGAACTTCTCCATGGTAAAGTTGGGGCCCTTTCTGAATGGCAAAGCACGTTTAGGTTCAGATCCAGAATCCTCCTGCAGTGAGCCAGAATCACTGCCTGTTGGGCTTTGTTTTTCCTCTGGGTCACTTTCATCTCCCTCTTTGTCATCTTCTCCCAGACTTCCATGCTCCTCACCAAGGGATGGGTCACCCATCACCATAATGTCACCATTCATCAATAAGCCCCCATAAAGCTGCTGGATATCAGCTTCACTCAGCTCAAGGTGGCTGGTTTCTAAATGTTTCTTCAAGGCCTGTAGTGTTCTGAAGCTTCGCTGGCAGAGGCAGCACATAGTGGCTGCCCTGATCACATGGTACTGCGAATGGAGCTGTAGTTTCTCCACGGTTTTGAAGGCCAGGCTGCATTGATTACAGCGGTACTTGTATACATGGCGATCTGAAACAGGCAACTGGGGCCTTTTGTTGTGAACTTCATTGAAATGCATCTGAAGGGAGTTGGAGGACTTGAACACTTGATTACAGCCTTTCTTCCAACACAGGAATCCTGTGGCATCATCCCTCTCTGACTGTTGATCTTCCAGAGGTGACTTGCGAGATTCTGCTATTTCTGTAGGGAGTGACACCCCCTTCTCTGGATCAGCATCTGATGCATCTGTGAATAAATACACCAAAAGAAGAAAGCAATTCATTAGTCCCTACATTTGCAAAGTGTTTTTTTCCCCCCAGTAATGCCAATAAAGGACATTAAAGCACTCATTGTGTTAGCCCTCTTGGGAAGGCGGAAAGAAATAAAGGGCAATGACTAATTACAAATACCAACCATCAATCATACTGTCTCGTTGTGAATGAAGGCTTAAGTATGAAAGAGTGTATTGTCTTTCAATACACTGTGTGTCAAAAATACAATTAAACCATTGCCATCGCACATTTCTTTCAAATACCTGAATAATGATTCTTCATTTCTTAGTAAAAACAACTACTGACCTAATACTGTACCAGTGTGTGCATACACAATCATAGTGATACAACTGAGTTCACTGTGACAATATGCTCGTTACAGAACACATACTGTAGGTAAAACTTCTGTAAATGATTCAGGCCTTAAAGACACACTTCATAGGAATTTGTACGCCAAAAATATTGACCTATTCTAAATTTCCGACAGAGTCAGGTACTAACCAGCTTGCTTCTTTGTCTCTTCCGAGTTAGAGTTGGTTGTGGCATGAGGGGTGCTCTGGGACTCTCTGTCTGGACTTGGTACAGGTATGAACATGCTTGCTGGCAGTACTTCAGATGCTGTTACCTGGAAAAGCAAAGCACAAAGGAATTCTAGTGTGAATAATCTTGTTGAGTGATAATGTAATTTAATAGTTTAGTTTAAATGATTAAAGGAAACTACAGACACAAACACAAGGATACACAAAGCAGTTACCAGGAAGGGGTTAGACAGATCAATAATGTATACTGTAACATTTTTACATAGCACTGAGTGATATTGACACTAAACATAATAATCAAGGGAGTCAGTGCAGAGATTATCACACATTTGTATGTTACTATTTACATATGAATCACTCATACATTATGTACACATACATACACACAGTTATGACCACATTTATGAACATACCATTTTTCACATAATGTAAAGTTTCACAGCCCTTTGCTTTAGCATGTGGCTATTTAAAGGAACGGTGTGTAGGATTTAGTGGCATCTAGCAGTGCATATTGCAGACTGCGTTCAGGTGAAACTTCTCCCATGTGCCAAGCGTGACCTTCCAGTTAGGATTCTTTCAGTGTTCATTGTTCATGAGGTTCTTACTAGGGGCTGAATTATCCACAGTGGTCTCTTCCTCTCCAAAACAAACGGCCCTTTTAATTCAAACCAGTATAAACACTGAATAAATCAGATTCACCCTAAAAATCAGTGGTTTTCAAATACTGTTCCAGGCTGCTAGCCCAGCACCTGCTAATGTGTGCTCAACTTTTTTCTCTGATAACTTAAGATCCAGACATTCAGGAGGTTTTTACTGGGAGCTAAATCATCTGCAGTTTGCATCTTCTCCAAAACAAATGGACCCAGTGATTTAAACCGGTAAAAATGCAGAATAAAGTAGTTTCAGTGTTTGGTTTTTTTTATAATAATGTTTGGCTCATCATGGAAGGGCTGCTAGCTATGTTGGCCGATGAAAAAACACAAATAGTCCTGTCTAGAGCCAGCATTTGGTTTGTCCATTCTGGGCTACTGTAGAAACATGGCTGTGCAACACAGAGATCTTCGTAGACAAGGACCCGCTACCTTGGTAGATATAAACAGCTCATTCTAAGGTAACAAAAACACGATGATTCTTATTTTCAAATGATTATACACTAAAGAAAACATTCTTATTTTATTATAATAAATGCAATTTCTGCCAATATATGCCCCTAAATCCTACACACTGAACCTCTAAGTGCTGCTGCTGCCAATTAGGATGACAGACCTCATGTCATACAGTATCTCAGCCAGCTACAAGCTTTATGAGGGGGGACTAATAAAATAGGACTAATGAAAAAAACTCTTCAAAAATAACTACTGTAATAAGTAGAAAAGGGAGATAAACAACATCCAGCCTTCTTACAATTCAGCTTTAGCTCCGGAATTCTCAGTAGTACAATTATAAAGTGCCAATTAAAAAACAAAACAAAATCAATTGAAGAAGAATTACTAAATAAGACTGTGTGCTCTTTAATAAAACGGTAAAATCAAAAGAAAAAAAAAAACAATGTCATCACTAATAAGAAGATCTGCATTTTTTATTTAGCAAAACTTTTTTTCTTTGTACTTTTCTAATTCAAATATGACAAGGACGAATAGGTATTGATTGAAAAAAGTACAAAGAGGAACCCAGGTTCTTCCTCCTCTCAAAAGGTTGGAGTCATTCATGTGTGAATGACAGCAACCTCTGTTTATTCTTGCGCCTGTCCCCTAAATTTCCTCCTGTTTCTCTCTCTGATAACCTTCTCTCACCTTAAAACCTGATAATTCATCAAAATCACTGATTAACAGTTCCCTATTTAACAATAATCGTCAGCTGAAACTGCGTGAGGTTGGAAGATGAGGCCCTCTCTGTGTCACCTTCCTTCAATTAACTTCACAAACAGAGTAATCAGCTTCACTCTACATGCTGCATTTCAATTCCCTCGTCTTTTCCCTCCTGTTCACTGGTGAACCTTTATTTTAAGACGTTCTTCACCTTATACTCTTAGCCTTAAGACTTATTGGTAGTCATGTTTATAATAAAGATGTTTCAAACAATGGAGACAAAAGGGGGAGAATCTCAAAGGATGCATCCTAGTGGTATTTGTATTGAAACGTAAGCGAGCAGAGTGTCAGATCTCTATGGCTGATGCTTTGGTTAATTTACCATATGTGCCATATGCTTTCTAATTACTCCTCTAATAGGCACAGTGAGAACACAGCTGAACGTACTGTAGCATATCATATAGCCTACGGACCAGATCCAAATGGAGCAGAATTATCCTCAAGCAACAGGAGTTTCAAGGTTAAACAGTTAACACTTTCCATCACTGTGTACAGACTGCATTTGGCTGGTACGGTCACAAATTTACCAGTATACATCCAGCCATTTCATTCTTTGTTTTTGTTACCTCTCTATCTCTTCAAAATGAAAAGTGGGGAATTAATGCAAGCAACACTGAAAGTCACAAAACAAAAAAAGCAATGATTTACATTACAAAGTGGACTGTTTCTAGACAACTGCTTCATTAGGCGATTAGTGGAAAGAGCAGAGTATCCCAAGGTCACTTTTAATTTGGACCGCCTAATTGGCAAACATAGTTCAAAATGGCTATCATCCAGCCAGACTCAGAATTAATGAAGCACAATTATTTTCATTACCCCTATCTTACACAGACAGAAAATGAGACATAGAGTGAGAGAGGGAGGACTGGGGGAGTGTGTGTGTATATATA